CAGCTGTATCTGCTCCCTCATTCCCTCCCAAACCCTCTCTCCCTCATCTCCTCTCTGCCCCTTTCCAAGTCTACTGATAGGGGAGGACCTCCTCCCCATTCATCCGATCCTGTTTTATCAGGTATCTTCAGGACTGGCTGCAAAGTCCTCCTCTGTGGCCTAGCAGGGCTGCTCCTCCCTTGGGGGGTGGGGAGGACCTTCGGCAGAGTGCAGGGAAACGTATGAAAGAAGGGGAGTTAGTATGATGTGGAAAGGATAAGAGCTCCACAAGGACCAAATATATCTGGGCACAGGGGTCTTTTCTGAGACTGACACTCCACCAAGGACCATGTATGGATATAACCTAGAACCTGTGTGCGAATGAAGCCCGTGGTAGCTCAGTAACCAACTAGTTTCCCATAGTGAGGGGAACAAGGACTATTTCTGACAGGAACTCAATGGCAGAAGTAACTTTTAAGAGTAAAGCTTCGGGGCTAGAGAGATGGCTCAGTGGTTAAGAGCAATGTCTGCTCTTCCCAAGGGCTCCTGGTTCAATTCTTAGCACCCACGGCAGCTCACAGTTGTCTGTAACTTCAGTTCCAAGGGATATGACACCTTCACACTGATGCACAAAATTAATAAATTTTAAAAAGTAAAGCTTCTCTCTTCCACCCCTCTAACTTTCTATCCCCACACTCTCCACACAAGTTCTTAATCCCTGACCGCGCTCCCTTCTCTCACCCATGTCCCTCCCCTTCCTCATTTCCAATGTCTATGATATCTATTTGATTTCCCTTTTCAGTGGGATTCAAGCGTCCTCCCTTGAATCCTCCTTGTTTCTTAGCTTCTTTGGGCCTGTAGGTTGTAGAGTGGTAATCCTGTACTTTATGGCTAATACCAGTTAGGAGTTAGTACACACCATGTGTGTCCTGCTCGGCCTGGACTTCCTCAGTCAGGATGATCATTTCTCTTTCTACCCATTTGCCTGCAAATTTCATGACGTCCTGACACTATTAATGATACGCTGCTCTTCTTACAGACAGGAACTTAGCTTCATCCAGCATATAATGGAAACAGATACAGAGACCCGCAGCCAAACATTAGTCAGAATTCAGGGTGTCTAGTCGAAGAGTTAGAGGGAGGATTGAGGGAGCTGGAGGAGTCAAGGAACCAAAAGAAAACCTACAGAGCCAATTAACATGAGCCCATGGTGTCTCATAGAGATTGAACCACCAACCAAAGAACATGCATGGACTGGTCCTAGACACCCCCTACACATATGAAGCTGATGGACTGCTTGTTCCTCAAGTGGATCCCGTAACAATTGGAGTGGGGGCTGTCTCTGTCCTGAACCCTGTTGCCTTCCTCTGGTTATCATTTTTCCTAGCACAGCTGCATTGTCTTGCCTCAGTGAAAGAGGAGGCACTTAGACCTGATGTGACCTGATGTGCCAGGGTTGGTACCCAGGGTGCAGGGAGGGAATATGGAGGAAGTAGGGAGAGGAGTGGGACTGGGTGTAGAGGAGGGAATGGAGTTGCGAGTTGGATGTAAATAAATAAATTAATGAAAAAAAATTTATACTCACACACAAAAAAAGAGTAAATCTAAGTAAATTCTAAACATGGTTACTAAGGTTGTTTATGGAATCTTTTTGCTAAGATATATGTAAAATTAAGAGAACTAATTAAAATTTTCTCTAATAGTTCACATGTGATCCACAGAGATGATGTAAGATTATTTTTTTCCTAAAGTTTTGTCTTTCTACTGTGGTAAAATTTTCTACTAGTATAATCCTCCAATAAAGGTTTTCTATATTGTGCACAGATAATTAGTTAAACTTGACACATAGTAATTCAAAATATCGTACATTTATCATTGATATAAATGTTGTCTCTAAGAGTTGAAAACATCAGGCTAAAGTGATGCTCTTGGTCATGTTTTAGAAACACAGCCATAAACTGTAACATGGTATAAAAGACTGCAAATAGACAACATGCTTGCTGGTATAGGGCATACATTCAGCACTTACTTTGCATTCAGAATACAACAAATCATTTCCTTTTCCACAGGGTCAGAAGAAAACATCCATGGGGTCATAAAGCTTTTACTGGCTTTTGAAATGTTTGTTTTTTATTGCTGACATAAAACATCATGACCAAGTCAACCTGCAGAAAAAATAACTTATTTGTGCTTACATTCCAGAGGATTGGAGTCTATAATGTAAGAAACACATGGAAGCCAAGGGCTCAGATCTTCAACTACAAGCAGGAAGCAGAAAAATTAAACTTAAAATGGATGAGTCTTTAACTATCAAAGCCCTCCCATAAGGACATGTTTACCCTAACAATGCCCCAACTAGGAACCAAGTGTTCATGTGGCTGAGTCTATGGAGGACAGTCTCCCTCAAATCATAGTACGAAAATAGTTAAGATTTAAAACAAGTTGAATTCATGCAACTTTTGTTCATTTATCAGTAGTTTGAAGATATTTTTAAATCTAGAGCTGTTTATTTAAGAAAAAGTTCACTCTGAGCAACAAGAAAACTAAGGTATTTGTAGATTGATATTATGGATCAGAAAAAAATAGACCTAAAGATAAGCAAATGATAGACAAAATTACTAAAAATTGTTAAGAAAACTAATTTGAATTCTTTGAAAAAAATTTTAGGATCTACAGATAATTTAAGAAGAAAACAGAGTATTGCTTAGCTTTTACTAAAGTAGTTTTTCAATTTATTTGTAAGATTTTCCAACAGTTTAAAGACAAGATTGCCAATCTGTTTTTTTTTTTTTTGAGAAAAATCAGAATAAATTCAAATTTGTCACAGTATTACACATAATGCCTCACTATCACAGAAAGTCCCATGGTATGAGGAACACTAAATGAATTCATTTTTCTCCACATTATATGTCCTTCTGCATTATGTATATACAGGTTTTCCTTTGTTTTAAATTACATGTTTAGAATAAGTGTGTGTGCTTATTGAGTTATATTTCAAGAAATGTGCTATGCTCCTTCTTAAGCTAGATTCGTGTAATTGTTACTAAGTATGTGGCAAAGCATAGTATTTTTTTTACATTATCTCCTTTTTATTTTATTTTATTTTTTATTAATTATACTTTATTCATTTTGTATCCCCCCATAAGCCCCTCCCTCCTCCCCTCCCTATCTCACCCTCCCTCCCCTTTCTGCATGCATGCCACTCCCCAAGTCCACTGATAGGGGAGGTTCTCCTCTTCTTTCTGATCTTAGTCTATCAGTTCTCATCAAAAGTGGCTGCATTGTCCTCTACTGTGGCCTGGTAAGGCTGCTTCCCCCTCAGGGGGAAGTGATCAATGAGCAGGCCAATCAGATTATGTCAGAGGCAGTCCCTCTTCCCATTACTATGTAACCCACTTGGACACTGAACTGCCATGGGCTACACCTGTGCAGGGGTTCCAGGTCATCTCCACAAATAGTCCTTGGTTGGAATATGATTTTCTGGGAAGTTCCCTGTGTTCAAATTATCTTGTTCTGTTGCTTTCCTTGTGGAGTTCCAAAGCATAGTATTTTAATGAATATCAAATAAACCATCTTAAAATTCAACCTTTCTCTGGACATGTCAGTATCAATGCAGATGGAGGGACATTCAGGGGATCTTGTGATACACTGGTGGACTATTTCCTGTGTGTAGCTACAGAAAAGTGGGAAACCAGTCCCTGCCCCTGTCCAGTGGTCACACAGATGGCTGGATTAAATTAAATGGGTGACGCAACAAAATAAAACGACAGATATGGGCAAATAACCAGTTAGGAGGAAGGGTAGTTGGTAGACACAGGAAGGCACTAAGAAAAATTGGAGAAGAAAGCAGCCAGAATGTTTTAGGGATGTGTCAGAAATTGTCAAGTAAACATGGTATGTACTCACTCATAAGTGGATATTAGCTATAAAATAAAGGATAACCGCACAACTACATACATACCCAGAGAGGCTAAGGAACTAAAAAGGCCCTGGGGGTGGGGAGGATGCCTGGACCTCCCTGGGAATAGGAAAGAGGTCCACCCCCAGTTTACCTTCTTCTTCTGTGGACTGGTAACGCTGCTCCCCCCTCAGGAGAAGGTGATCAAAGAGCAGGACAATCAGTTCATGTAAGAGGCAGTCCCTGTTCCCCTTACTAGGGGACCCACTTGCCTTAGGTTACCTCTGTGCAGGGGTTCTAGGTTATCTCCATAAGTGGTCCTTGGTTGGAGTATCAGTCTCAGAAAAGACCCCTGTGCCCAGAAAAAAGTGGAGAAGAGCCTTGCTGGTGGGAATGTAAGCTTGTACAACTACTTTGGAAATCAATTTGGTACTATCTCAGAAAATTAGGAATAGTGCTACCTCAAGACCCAGCTACACCACTCCTAAGCATATATCCAAAATATGTTAAATTATACAACAAGGACATTTGCTCAACCATGTTCTTAGCTGCTCTATTTATTATAGCCAGAATCTGGAGATAACCCAGATGTCCCTCAGCTGAGTAATGGATACAGAAATTGTGCTACTTTTTCCCAATGGAATACTATGCAGCAATTAAAAGCAAGGAAATCATGAAATTTGCAGGCAAATGTTGAGAACCAGAAATGATTTTTCCTGTATGAGTTATCCCAGAAGCAGAAAGACACACACAGTATATATACTCACTTATAAGTGGATATTAGACATATGATATAGGATAAACATTAAAATCTGTACACCTAAAGAAGCTAATCAAGAAGGATCCTGGGTAAGATGATCAATTCTCACTCAGAAAGGCAAATGCGACAGACATTAGAAGAGGGGGAAATCAGAGAACAGGACAGGAGTCTATTACAGAAGGCCTCTGGAAGACTCTACCCTGCAGGGTATGAAAGCAGATGATAACCAAACTTTGGGTAGAGTGCAGGGAATCTTATGAAAGGAGGGGGAGGTAAAAGATCTGGAGGGGACAGGAATCCAAAAGGAGAGCAACAGAAACAAACAACCTGGTTAGAAAAGCTTTCAGTTGTATAAAATCAATCACTGCCTTGCAGGTGTTGCAGGTAGGGCTGCTGTATCACACATGCGTCAGCAGGTGGCAGAGGGTAGAGATGCTGTGTCTACACTCAGTGTGCTCACCTGTGAACACCCAGATGATTAGCAGTTTAACATTCCAAGAACAAAGTGAGCCTGAAACTACCGCCATTCAGGTGCAGCACCAGCGCACGTGAGAAATAGATGAAACTATCTACTGATCAGTGGTCGGCTGAGTAGTTGTAGCCTATGAGGTCCTATGTCCCTCAACAAACACAGCACTTGTTTTGTATTAACTATGGTACTTTATCCAAATATGCTTTGACCTCAATTCCTTTGAAGTTTCTCTCAGAGAAAACTAGGTTGAAAAAAATTAATTTTCAACCATATCAGGAATATGATTTTCACTCCAACAATTCTTCAAATAATTTTTTTTCTTATGCACAAGTGTAAAGAATGAGATCAGTTCTAGGGTAGCTCAACATATGCTTATGGGGCAAATGTTTCAAAAATAGCATGCGGCAAGTTCATGCTTCCTTATTCTCTTAAACTTTGTTCTTCTGACTGGTTCTCTTTGCCTGCCATCAGCACACGGAAATTCAAATTTTCAAAATCAATGGCCCCGAGTTGCTCATGAGTCATAGTACTTGCTACTCAGATGTGAGGAAATGAGTTCAGGTCCTCAGAAATTATTTGTTTAAGATATGGGTGTGTCACAAGTACCTGTCACCCTAGTGGTGGGGGACAGTCAGACAGTGGACACTTTGGCTTTCTAGTCATTCAGCCTAGCTTATGGCAAATCGCAGGCTACTCTACATGTTCGTTGAGAGACCCTGTCTGAAGCAACCTTACAACCATCTTAACTGAAATGTTGGATGAGTACCAACACTGAAAAATTTTCCATGGCATGATTTCTCTCCCCACCCCCCATGCATCTCCTTCTCTTGATGTAAGTCTTCTGCCTATTTATCCTAGGAAGTTTTTTCTATGCCTATATACTGACAAAACATTATGAGTCAAAAGCAAACACACATACATGCACATATAAACACACACACACACACACACACAAATCCCTACACACACATGCAGTTCAGTATATATTCTCAGAAAAAAAGCAGATCTCACAACCAGGCAAAACTCCTTTCCTATCCCTCATTTAATCTAGAAACAGGAAAGGATATAGGCTGTGCTGCTTTTGTGGTATTTTAGTATTTGCTGATAAAATCTAGAACTATACACCTTGCTTGCTTAAAACAATGACACCAAATATCCATAAGAGAAGATATTTTGTTCGGCTCTTTTTTCAAATAATACTAATTGTTCTGTAACATTTTTGACAAATATGTGAGTGAAAGATAAGTAACTGTTAATTTAATTTTGTGATAGTCCACTACAGACATAAGCCAAATTCAAGTTAACATACTCAACCATAAAAGCACAGTTTCCACACCAAACATTGATATGTAGGACAGCCATCCCAAATTCATGTGGAAATCAGAAAATTATGGAATTCAGTCTCTTCTTCCACTTTTACGTGCAACCTGGGGATTGAAATTGGGGTCAACCAGGGCTGTGTGCAAGGGTCCTTATCTGTTGAGGCCTCTTGCAGCACGTGCGTATTCTAGGCACTAGATAAAGAAGAAAATGATGGAAATGTATAGGGCAGAGAACAAGGAAATATCAAGCATACAGCTTTGATTGTCCCCCTAAGGATTCAACAGGAATTTCTCTCCTGGCTAGAAAGTGTGATGATGTGTAGGGACACCATCAGGTAAGTGTGCTTCATCTCAGTCACTAGGTTGTGTGGTCCGGTGTGACTAAAAGCTCTGACCACAGTCATATTTCTCTCTCTGGCATGACAAGATCCTGCCCTGAATCTCATTATTATCATCTGGCTAATCCAGGAAATCGAAGAGGAAGAGTACAAAAGGTATCTTCTTTGAGGACAAGGTTAAATTTCTTTCCACAACCTCCTTTGCATTAGTTTGAGTTGTTAACAACAAACTACCATAAACTGAGTGGATTCACCTACAAAATCTCTTTTCTTACAACTCTGGAGAGGAGGCCTACATCCAAGAATGAGAAGCAAACAGTATTTCTTTCTGCCAAAGGTTCTTTTCTGATTTGAACATGTCCCCATCTCATGTCCCGTCACAGAGCCTTTCTCTGTGTTCATAAGTAGGTGACCTGCCTGCAAGTTCTAATCTTCTCTTTAAAATAAGGACAACACTCAAATTAGAATAAGACTCCACTAACAGCCATATTCTAACTTGATCATCTATTGAAGAGTCTACAAACAGCTTTACTATTTGTAGTGCTATGGGTTATAAGCTAAACATAGGAGTTTACAAAGACATAATTCACTCCATGGCACTGCCTGAACTCTATAGTAAAGTCTATAAAGTTTGTCTTATGTTCTTTGAGACATGTCTGTATTTTAAGCGTATTAAATAATTAATTCAACATGTAAGTATTTTTTCTTTTTTCTTTTTATTTTTATTTATTTTTTTTACAGTTTATTCATTTCTTTAAATTTTATCCCCCCATAAGCCCCTCCCTCCTCCCCTCCTGATTCCACCCTCCCTCCCCTTTCTGCATGCATGCCACTCCCCAAGTCCACTGATAGGGGAGGTTCTCCTCTCCTTTCTGATCTTAGTCTATCAGTTCTCATCAAAAGTGGCTGCATTGTCCTCTACTGTGGCCTGGTAAGGCTGCTCTCCCCTCAGGGGGAGGTGATCAATGAGCAGGCCAATCAGATTATGTCAGAGGCAGTCCCTCTTCCCATTACTATGTAATCCACTTGGACACTGAACTATATTATTCTGTTTTCCACAGGAATGAAAAAGAACTGTGTGTGTGTTCACACAAGTGTATGTTCTAATCACTCTTAGTTCCACTGTTTTCTGTTCTTTGACAGAGCCTGAAATGAGCACTATACCATGAGGAAGAAAACGGGAAGTTTGAAACATTTGGTTTTGAACTTTTCTGTATTCATAAATTTCATGTGGAAAATACTGAGCTGTAGTGAGATCATGGGGAATCTGTCAAGGTAGGGCCAACATGCTATATATTCAGAATATTAATAAAAAATCTATATCAGCTGCCAGGGCAGGCCTCATGTTCTGGAGCAGTTGGACAGCATTTGGACAACATATGATGGACTCAACAGTTTTTTGTTGTTTGGTGTGTGTGTGTGTGTGTGTGTGTGTGTGTTTTCATTTAGTTACAGTTTGGTGGGTTTTTTTTTTTATTGTTCTGTTTTTCTTTCCCTTGTAGGTGTTGTTTTATTTTGTTTTTTTAGTTTTAGGGGGCTCTGTTGTAATAAAGTTTTTGTTTGTAGTTTGAGAAAGAATTTAATTTTGGTTGGGTAGGGAAGTGGAGAGGATTTGGAAGGAATTGGAGGTACGAGGAATATGATCAATATATCTTTACACTTAAAATTGTTTTAAATAATAAAAATATAATGATTAGTGGTTAACAAAAGAAAGGCTATTCAAACCTGTGTCTGTGGCCTTGATTTTGTATTATAGGTTTCAGTCTCCTCCAGGCCCACCTGTGATTCAGTGTAGAAGATTGCTGTAGTATAATTAGCTTTTCTAATTCAATGCCAAGGGAAACTAAATGATGCTTAGAAGAAAAGATACCTTCTATCAAAACAAATAATCATGTCAGCCATTATTTAGATCTCCACATGAGCCAAGATAAATTTATTACCTCTTGCTAGAAATGTTTTGGCACATTAATCCTGAAGCTTCGGTCAGCTACAATGGTGTTTGCATGTGTTTAGTGAAGTTGGCAGAGAGACTAGCGGAAACATATTCCAACAGTAAATTTGATACTAGTGTTTATATTTCCCTTGAGTCCCCCAAGAGTATGCAGTTTCAAAACCAACATGCTTAATGATATAAGATTGTTTTACATGGAGTCTTAGAAAAAAGGCAAGAATATGACCTGCAGTTCTGAGGAACTGACTTTATAAACAAAAAACAGCATTTTAAAGTATTCAGCAGTAGAGATAATATCCTCTGTCCTGTTTTATGCCAATAAACAAACATACATTTCTGACATTTTGGTTGCTAAAATTAAACAAAACGAGACTTCTTTCCTTCCAAGTAACATGAGAAACACCTGGGTGCTTCTGCTCTCTCTGGTAAGCCTTTGTTCCAGCACAGTCTCTGCCTTCTCCTTCCTTCTTTAGTTACACGTTGTAGTGGTTAGCGCTAATTGTCAAGGTGACAAAATCTAAAATTCTCTAGGAGACAGGTTTTTGAACATGACTATATTTTGATAACATTGTGTTGTGGGAAGAACCATTCACTCTAGTTGGTTTACTGGTCAGTGGATCCTGTGCTGTGTAAAAGTAAAGAACATGTGCTGAGAACACATCATCAGAGGTGGCGACTTTAGCACTTTTTTTTTTTTACTTTGCCAATTACTTCTTTATTTCCTTTAAAATATATTTTATTTTTTAATTTTCTTAAACTTTCTTTCTTTCCACTTTTTACCTGTGCTATAACACTCTCTCTCATCTCCTCCCAGTCCCACCCTCCATCCCTCTTATCCCCCTATGTCCCTTTCCTAGTCTACTGGCTAAAATCAAAAACTCAAGAGATGACACATGCTAGAGAGGATGTGGAGAAAGGGGAACCCTCCTCCAAAGCTGGTGGGAATGTGACTTTGTGCTTTGGAAATCAATCTGGTGCTTTCTCAGAAAATTAGGAATAGTGCTACCTCAAGATCCAGCTATACAACTCCTAGGCATATACCCAAAAGATGCTAAACCATATAACAATTACATTTGCTCAAATATCTTCATACCAGCTTTATTCATAATAGCCAGAATCTGGAAACAACCTATATGACCCTCAACTGAAGGATGGATACAGAAATTGTGGTACATTAATACAATGGAATACTACTCAGCAATTGAAAACAAGGAAATCATGAAACTTGAAGGCAAATGGTGGGAACTAGAAAAGATCATCCTGAGTGAGGTAACCTAGAAGCAGAAATACATAATGTATTTAAATGTAATTTCTAAGGCAATGCCCTGAGAGTAGAACGCAATCACAATGTGTATAGCAGAAGGCAGAAGACAACCCATATATACTAAGATGCTTTTGTTTAGCTGTCACT